AAACTATTATTATACGATTTACTGTTCTTCAGTTATACCTAGTCTATTAATTACAGTTTCCAATATTCACAGCCACTTTTGGTTAGATTTTGTACAAATGTTATTTTCTATTTTATGGTACGATGAGGTATATTTGGTTTGTATATAAACCTAGTATACTTGAAATACATGATTCATAATGGGAGGCTGAGATTTGTGTTCTGGACTCAACAGACAAAAAGAACGACCGTTAAGGATTCTAGAGTGCTGGAACAGGTTTTATGCGTCATTAGTCCGGTCGATAATTCATTGTTGTCTAATTGGCAGTATCATTACGTTATATATTAAAAGGTCACAAAATTGAATGAATGAGTTATGTTGAATCTTACAATTAAGTAACAAACTGAAAAGAGTTAGGTCATCATTTATTTTTATGTGAATTATGTTACTCTTGATAATGTGGAAGATTTCCTTGTGCAAAGTGATAATCACATTGATGTCAATTCACATCCTGATCAACATGAATAAATTAAGATCAAGAAATGAAGTTAAAAAATATTAAAGTGATATAAAATTAAATAAACAGACAAAAATTGATAATGACGGATAGTGGCTAGCAGTGGAATCCAGTTTGACGCGCGTTTCGTCTTATTTGGGACTCGTCAACTGGATGTACCTGCATCTCAGAGTTGATGTTCACTCTGGGACTCGACCCAGTACCATTCGCTTCAAACGCCATCGCGTTATCCACTCAGCTACTGAGTCCTGATAGCCACTTGCTTGTGCAATGGGGTGAATTTAAATTCACTTGGTATTGTTTGGCTTGTATCTTCCCATTGAGGTTTAAGACTGCAATTGATCAGTCTGTGGACATCAACTCTGAGATGCAGGTACATCCAGCTGACGAGTACCAAATAGGATGAAACGCGCGTCCTGGATTCCACTGCTAGCCACTATCCATCATTGCTTAAAAAAGCTTGTGAATTAAGGCAATATCGAGGCATACGCACAGTATGCACATATGCCAATAAGAGACTGGTCAATTACAGTCTTAAACCTCAATGGGAAGATACAAGCCAAACAATACCAAGTGAAAAATTGATAATGATAGAAAGGAGAATCATACACACACGCACACACACACATATCACACCAGATATTCTCTAGTGTGGAAATGTTTTATTTAGTTGTATAAATTCCAATTTCCTTCCCTGTATTTTTTTATATATAAAAATGAAACTAAGTACTAATGAACCCAATTTCTGTTAAACGGGTAAACTCTAAATAGATCAAATGTTTGGTTAATTTACTTATCACCCCCTAAACAGTTACTTTCACGATTAACAAATGATTCCTTAACGGTACTTCAAACAATTCTGTTTCTATAGTAAACGTTTCTTTTTCTTTTTCTTTTAATCTAACCGTTTGAAGATATTGTTTTCGTATTGTTCATAAATATTGTAAAATAACAGCTAGTGTTCAGGTAAGACATTGTTTTTGTTATGAAATAAAAATTTAGAAAATTCAGTTTAGAAACTTTACTTTTTAACTAAATCATTTACTTAGGGTGTAAAACTCTATTTATAACTATACGATAAATATATATGGGTATATAAGAGAGAATAAAAATAAATTATACAATAAACTGATCCAAAATTTCAAATGTCAAATGAATGTTTAGTGATAATCTAGAGGTTATATGAGAATAGGTGAGGGGTGAGAATAATTTATTGGTTGAAAATATGCAAAACTAATGTCAGTTTCACAAAACTAAAGAATAAATAAAAACTGTAGAGGCTATAATAACAATTGTCCCTACTAGTAACTAAGCTATGAGCGGAAATTTTCAGAGTTTTAATGGAAAATTGTAAACACTGGAGTATAACCATGTCGAGTGTGAAGCAATTAACCACTAAAGACAATTGAAGATGGTTGATTGAGGTTAAACACTAAAATCACTGGATATTGGCTTAGCGGTGTAGAGCTTGCTCGTTTGTGCACAAGATTAGCGGTCTTGGGTTCACTCGCTTGTGACGGAGCCATGAATGTGCACTTCAGAATAACCCAAAACTAGAAGAAAAACAGTCGTTCAGTGCTCCCAGGTTTACGATGGTTGATCAACTTAAATGGGTTCAGCATTCTAATGAAACTGAATTATAAACATAAAAAGTTGTTAAAGGATAATAATAACGTATTACAGTTTGAAAAATAGTATCTTTAAAAAATGATAGTATTTTGCCACAGTTGCACACGGAAAGATGAATTTAAATTTTATACAGAAGTGGGAATAACAACTCACACTTACTACATAAGGTATAGGAGAATATATCTTTAGACCAAAGATAAGAGACTGATCAATTGCAGTGCTAAACATCAATGGGAAGATTTAAATAAACAATACCAAGTGAATTTGAACTTCACTCCATTGCACAAGAAAGTGGTTATCAGGATTCAGTAGCTAAGTGGATAACGCGATGGTGTTTGGGTTGGATTCTCAGAGTGAACACTAACTCTGAGATACAAGTATACCCAGCTGACGAATCCCAAATAGGACGAAACGGGCGTTCCGTACTCTACTGCTAGCCACTATCCATCTTTGTTTATATGCAATGACATACCTTTTTCGTTTTAACGAAATGATATATAATTCGGGTGAAATAGCGTAAAAAATGGATATATATGAAAATATAAGCCATATGTTCAGAAAAGGTTTTTTATTTGAAATATAGATTAAGCCATTTCATTATTTAGATAATGAACATTTTTCAGTATGTTTCTTGTTCAGTTAAAAAATAGTGTACATCTGTAGTGCTGTACAAAAATCTCTATAATCTATAACCAGATTGATGGTATACTGAAACAGGAAAGGCTATACTCCAGTACTTTAGAGTACCAATGACCTAGTATTTTCGGTAATATTACCATCATTACAATCACTTTATGGATTCTTTATGTAAATTGGAAGACGTTTAATCCAGTGTGAAGATAAAAGAGACAAAATTCTAAATACATTTATTTGATCTGTTATGGCTTATATCTACCCGTTGTTGATGTTATGAACTGCAGTTAATCAGTGTCTTTTGGTATATTTTTTATCCAGAAAGGACTGTCTCGATATTATCATTAAGCCAGAAGATTTAATTATCGTTAAAATTGTGGCAGTACTGAGGTCAGGGAAGTCTATTTCATAGAATTCAAAGTGCAACTTCATTTTAGTGTTGATTTTTGTACTTTAATTGTTCAATTTCAGTCTATGAAATCGATAACGGTCAGATTAAAACCAACCTCAATTAACAATCCAGTGGTATTTGTACATAAAATTCAATGAATAATGCATTGGACATTAGAGTTTTTGTGTGAGTGTCAACACAAGAATATGAATACATCCAGAAGGCGAGCTCGAAATGGGAAGAACTGCACGTCTTAGATCTCACTAATGAAAAATATTCTAGCTTTAATTGAAACTTTGGGTGTACCTGTTTGAAAAACAAAAGACTATATTAAATACATTGTTTTCTCTCGTATAAATCACTATTGATCAAATATCTTATTAAACCAATAGTCTCAAATATGTTGAAACTGTTGAGCAACCATTTCAAATATATTTGGAGCAAACACTTTCTGTATGGCATAAAGACACAGCTTAAATATATTGAGTGGTAGATAATGCAAATATTAAATACCGTAAACTATACACATGTACATTATCATGAATGCAAGTTCTATTTTACATAAAGATTAAATAAATGATGGTAAGGTTAATTCTATACCTTAATCGACTTAAAAGAACACAATTGAATTCGACATCTTAAGTCACGTTCGAGAAAGTATCCTTCAGTTGTCGAGTACTGTTCACAGATCGCGTTGTAATGCCTTCAGACAATAGTTCTATACCTTAATATTTTTCCTGAGAAAAAATGGAGAGGAAACTTAAATTGATCAATAAGCTGTTGTGATATATCAGTGTTCACGTTGCTGTTACAAAATCCAAGTTTATAAAAAAGTGCATTATATGTTAATATTTTAATTGTAAACTTTCTACATTAATTAACACAACTATCAAATTGTTTTCTCTGAAATGTCTATATATAGATTTAATTCAAGAAGTATACAGGATATGGTGTTTGCTTCAATAGAGTTAATTCTAAAGTTGAATATTTTGTTAAGCAAATTATTAATTTAATAACCTCTTTATGCAACATATTACAAAATGGGAGTATAGCTTACATTAGATTCCGTCGGACAATTATTAGTGAATAAATAGTTGAATTCATGAGTCGTTTAAAGCTAGACCACCATGGAAAACCTGAAAGTACTGGACGGCCGTTTCATCCTATTATAGGACACCTCAGCAGTGTCCATCTATGACTCTACCCGCAGGATCCGAACCCAGGACCTGTCGGTATTTAACTGTGTTAATATCCAAATTCAACCAATCCATGAAATTGCGCCGCCGTCCACCATTGTCTTCAATGAGTTGTTATCTCATAACAGACTCGGTTGGACTATACTGGTCACTGCTTCCCAGCAGAACTTCATCAAATACCTCTTGGAGACAGTGCTTCTAGTGCAGCCTGGTTTTACATAGTGATCTAGCTCTAAATGACTCATGAATTCAACCATTAAATTACTATAATATCTACAAAACCCCTTTCTGATTATAAATATTGGTGAGTGATTTTCAATTTTATGCTACTATTGTTCTAGGAATACAGAAACAGTTGATTTAAATTCTGTTAACATCACAGATTAACATCAGTTAAAAGATGTTTAATGAGAATAAACAGCACTGAATAACTGTTTCTTCCTTGTCTGAAATTTCTCAACAGTTTCTACATCGACAATTTATAAATATCAAAACCAGTTAGTACATGGTATATGGATAAAGTTATTTCAGAATTTATTATTCAATTATATTACCGGTCTAATATAATGTTTAAAATACATTCATTCCAATTATATATATTGAACCATTTTTGAATTGTTTATTCTGATCTTCTTTATAATTCTTTTACAAACAGAAATCAATCCTGATCGTGAAAGCGATTCACCGAGTATCGGTAAGTGAATATTGGTTCTCCGTACTTGGCTTTTGTTAGTTGGTAGTTTTACAAACAAACATATATTCCTTGTACATTAACTTAATTAAGAATTTCACATATTTATCTGCAAAGTAATATATATTATTCAGTAAATTGGCTAGTTTGTATTAAGATTATAGAAATATGAGATGTATACAACTTTATTCTACTAAATAATACTCTAACTGGGCTATCTTTGTAATTGTCAAAGATCCTAATAAGGCACATTTTCCCATTTAGTTTTCAAATACTAATGTCTAACGTTGTCCAGTGAATCAAATTTTTTCGCTTTTGAATAGTTGTCGAGTGGAGTAAAGGTTTATATAGTTCACCGTCTGACTTACTTACGCCTGTTACTCCCGATGGAGCATAAGCCACCGACCAACATTGTCCAACCCACTCTGATCTGAGCCATCCATTCTAGTTCTATTCAACCGCTGTTCATTCTTCTCATATCTGTCTCCATTTTTTGGCGATCAATTATATATCAAAGTGGGCAGCGAATAGATATTTCGAAGAATAAAATCATATATTGTTAAGATTAGTATTATGTATAGTTTAGATTTGCAGTGCTCCGAATTGCCTGAAATCAAAAAGTTTGAATCAGTGGATTCTCTACAGGACGTTGTGTACATTGTTTAGCAGAAACCTACCAGGTTTTATATCGATTGAAAATTGTAACAAAACGTCGATGACATTTGTCTGAATCTTAACAAATATTCAGCTAAATAATGTGTCTTGTTCCGCAACCTCAGATTGATAATAAATCAACATCTTTACGAAACCAATAGACTTTCGTTCAATGTATCTCAACAATCTAGACATTGAGAAGATACCTTAGAAACTCACATTTCCTAGCCTTACGTATGACTGGGAGTAAAATATTCTTATACCAGTGATAAATAATTACTGGGTTTGTTGTGTATGTATGTTACAATTTCAATGCTATTAATGTTAACAAAATTTTAGGTAATTACAATATAAATACACAAAACACTTTCCTTGTGAACACCAACCGTAACTATTATGATATTAATTACTGAACAATAGTGAAAGAGTAAACAGTCTAATTAATTATAACATTTCGAAGTCATTTACTGATCAAAGTAAAGTATGATGACTTATATCATGAATTGACCTCGGGAACCACTGTGTATATTCAAGGCTCTCGTGAGAAGCCATAACCAGTGGAATTCAGTGAAGTAGAGTGTGAAGCAGTTACCTACCAACGACGTTTAAACATTTTTGCACAGTATCGCGATTTGATAGGAATTTATAATATATGCCATTGAGTGACTGCTCAATGGTTTAAAGATTAATCGATTGTCACATGACCTGAAGGTCTTGACATCAATTCCCTATGATGTCGTCGAAGTGCATTGCTAAGGATTCCAAGAACACAATCAGATATCTTTAAATTGCTTGCTGGTCTTCAATGCTTATTTGGTTAAGGTCAATTCATAGTGTTAACTATGAAACTCAATAATCTCAATAAGTCACTTATACTAAAATATTATAAACTAACAATTCTTATATTCCAGATTTTTTTTCTTAATAATTATCATTCTATTGTAATAATAGATGAGACTCCTGAATGTCATTTATCTTAGCCTTTATTTTGATCCAACACTTTTTTAGTGACCAAAACACAGATTTCACGAGATTGAAAGCTTATAAAGTTTTTTTATTATTTTATTTTGATTGTTATACAGATGTAGATAAAACTAAATTATGATCTATATATCATTATGTATCCACCAATCATTAGATGTATCTGTGGAAACATCTTATCTATGACGATATATATGTTTTAAAAGAATAAATATAAGATAGGAAAACATAACAATATAGATATATTCTAAATGATTTTATCCTATACACGATTCCTGATAAGTTTTATTTACATTAATCATTCTAATCACTTATAATAGTTTATTTTTTTTAAATATACAGAATAACTAGTTACATGTATATCTTTAGACATTTAAAAATAAACAGTGAGTATTACTTGTATCATATGGTAGTTAATGTTTAATAGAACTGAAATTTTGACATTTCATTTTCTGAGCTGGATGGTATATTTGTGGGGCTTTTATGTTTTTCTGAATAGTAACATCAATACAAACTTCATCAAAATCATCCATCTGAGATAAAAATCTCGGTAATCTTATAAAACTGTATATATATATATATATATATATATATATATATATATATATTACGTGATTGAAATCCTGAGCCGATCTAAGTTTGACAACCTACGGAAATCTGAAAACACTGGACCGCTGTTTCATTGTATCATAGGACTCTTTATCAGTGAGCGTTCGTGACCTCGCATATGGGAACCAGACATAGGAACTTCGGTCTAGCGAATAAATGCTTAATCTCAAGACTACTTAATTATTTATCTTATATTCAACGGAAATAGTGTTTTTGAAACCAAAGTCGACACAGAAATGTGTTAACAAACACATTGTTGTAAAAATAGAATTTGAGAAAATGAATTTGTTGAAATTATCAAATTTGAAATTTATTAGAATTATGAATTGACCGTCATTATCAATGTTAAGTGTCTTCTTAAAGAATTTGTACAAATCTTATATTCAGGTAATTTATATGTTCATTCATGACCAACTTTCAGAAGAATCCTTAACGTCCATAAGAGAAAACATGACTAGTTAAATACAATCATTTTTTGTATAGCGCAGTTAATAATAAATATTAGTTGTTTAATTTCGTGTACTGAATAAGTATTTTAAGGTATATGTATAACCAAAACTCAAAATGTTAGCAAACTAATACCAACTTAGTGGTCCAAATGAGGCATGCATCCACTCAGTTATTGATGTTTTAATAAAAGACCATCACTGCGACATACAATGCCATCTTTTTAATGAACCATTGTTTCGATAATAGCTTAGTGAACGAGAACACAAGTGGCGACAGTCGAATGTAATCGAATACAAAACTACAAAAATTCTTAGTAAAATCTGAGAACCATACAATAAATTCTTTATTCGCAAAATGTCAATCAGTTGTCTCAAACTTAACTGTTCATTTCGCAGATATCAGTCACTCGTCTCAGACCTCTCTGTTCAGTCATTTCCACAGAAATCATTCTTTGTCCTCGTTCTCTTTGTTTGATCTTCTCAACCGTCTTCCTTTAGGCGCTTCACTTTCGATTGATAATACATAGTACTTATATCTATTGACATCAGTAGCACACACTACAGTAGTCAGAGCCAGTATGTTAAGTAATTATTATAATTAACTTAGAAGTATGTTTGCAGTAAATATTATCATCACTTGGAACAAAATTACGAAACAACGTTTTAACACGACTTGAACTTCTCATGAACTATTTCAAATATTTTCTTATCTCATAAGTTTATTTTATTTATAAGCATCACATATTTTTATTTAAAAAAATAAGAAATATAACTTTTAATAAAATATAAGTCTGTGTGTGTTGTGAGCTACTGATGTCGATAGATATAAGTAGTATGTATCATCAATTGAAAGTGAAATACCTGACAACACAAGATTAAGAAGATCAAAGAAAAGAGAACACGAACTGTAAATCATTGCCGTGGAAATGAAGGAACAGTGATATCTGAGACCATTGATTGATATTTGCAAAAGGAACAGTCAAGTATGAGATAATTGAATGACATTTGGCAAATTACCTATTTACTGTATAGTAATCGGATATTCTGTAATATTTTTATTCAAATACATTCTATTGTCACCAAATGTGTTCTCGTTCAATAAAAGTGTAATAATATTAAACTTTCTATGGAAGTATTTGTACTTTTAATATGTTAAGTATTTTTTTGTTGTTGATAAAAATGCACGTATTACATGAACTTAACAAAAGAAAACATATTCATAGTTATAAATCTCCACTGTTCTCACAATTGTTAGTTGACTAAAATAAACAAATAAAAACATAGAACCTGCCAATGTTATTTAATGTAACCAACAAATGGAAAACTAGTAAATACATTATTATTATTATTATTATTATTATTATATTATTAGATAGCTTGTTTACAATTGAATGCAATAAAATTAACTAGGTAGATCTTTATGAACACTCGACGATGTAATCATCCTTTTAGAAATATTTCATTCAATATAGTTTTCGATCACCATGATGTCTATTAGATTATTTGCTTTATAATGGATTGTACAGTAAGTATTACTCACTGTCATGTTTAAATTTAATTTAATCTTCGTATTGATATTTAGGACTGCAATTGATCAGTCTCTTGTTGGTATATGTGCATACTGTGCGTATTGCCTCAATATTTCCTTACTTCACAAGCATTATAAGTAAAGATGGATAGTAGCTAGCAGGGGAATCTGTTCTGATGCGCGTTCCGTCCTCATCGAACTCGTCAGCTTGATGTACTTGCATCTCAAAAGTGATGTTTAGTCTGGGACTCGAACCCAGTACCGTTCGCTTCACACTCCATCACGTTATCCGCAATACATACAGTATGTACATATACCAATAAGAGACTGATTAACTGCAATGCTAAACATTAATAAGAAGATTTAAGTAGGCAATACAAAGTGAATTTAAAATTCACGCTATTGCACAAGCAAGTGGTTATCAGAACTCAGTAGCTAAGTGGATAACGCGATGGTGTTTGAAGCGAATGGTACTGGGTCCAGTCCCAGAGCGAACATCAACACTGAGATACAATTTATCCAGCTGACGAGTCCCAACTAGGATGAAACGCGCTCCTTGGATTCCACTGCTAGCCACTATCCATCTTTGCTCATAACACTGTCGTGTTTCTTTAGACCTTCAAGTGCTGGTCAAATCTCATTCTCATACTTGTCGTTAGTCGTTCCCCAAATATCTTTCTAGTAAGTTCTTAGTCTCTGACGCTGGGCATCACGAGATTGAATCCTACATGGAACATCAGTTCCCTCAATTTAAGGGTATAACCGAAAAGTAACGGGAGAGCGAAATATAGGGTTTTTGTAGACTTCCTCCAACTATGCAACAGCTTTTCGTTTCACTGTTACAATGATAAAAACAATATTGTGTTTTTCTTGAAGAACATTTTCTTGTTTAGTGGTTTTTAATTGATTTGATAAACAAACTTCTGATTCATGAACATATCTATTTAATAAAATCAACTAACACTAACTTATCAAATAATTTCTATTAGCTTCAGACATACCGATTCCAAAGACGAGACGTTTATCTTTACGCTCTAAGCGCAGTTTTGACTGTTCATTTGAATTATGGGATGAAAATTATTTCTCTATGGAACGGAAGGTAAATTTTTTTTTCTTATAAAAAAAATTAATCTCCGGAATATAAACATTTTTAAGAAGTGAAACAGTCATAACTTGATAGTCTTCATGCTTCTACGTTAAACTGTTCCATGAAACCCATAGCAACAAGCATGACTTTTCTGAATTACATTAGAATACGTTTTAGTTGCATCAAAGGTGTGTCTCTATATGTTTCTTGCTGAATTTTAGCTCTCGGTTATTTGACTTGAAACCAGTGCTTTTCATTAGAAACTCTTTGACTTCAGTTGAGTAGACGCTCTCTCAAAATAAGAGATTGCTGATAATAGGCTGTCATTATTGTCAACAAAATGTACATCAAAATGTTTGTACACAGATTTCAACATCAATAATTTCAGTGCACTAATTTAACAAAAAGAAAGCCCATAGTCCTTTATCGGTTAGTACCCCTTAAATAATTGGTGCCTATAATAATCAATGTTCTTATGAATTTACAGCTGGTGACATTTTACTGTGGACATTCGGTAAATATGACTTGCGTCTCATGAAATCCGCATATTTATTTCCACTATCATGTATAGTGAACATTATGCGTTTATCAGTGTTACTCAATCTATATTATATTCATCTTTATGATATTAACAGAATCACGAGAAATAACTAACATCATGTACTTTCAAATTCCAAATTTTTGTTTTCTTAACGAAAAATAAATTATTGTGGCTGGATGAGTTTGATACATTGAAAATGTGTCTCAAAGATAACGTTTTGTCGATGATTCCGTTTCTCAATGAAGATTATCATTTGTGATATATGCATAGTATTATTATATTAATTTGATGCTTGACAACGAAGAAAAGTGACTAATTACCGTCAAACTCTTTCATATAAAGCTTAATTAATCCACATTATTATTATTATTATTATTATTTTCAGCAGTCCATTTCAGTAGTTAAAGTAAACATCTTTAAAAAAATTATCAGATATCGTTTTAGGTTATTAAGTTTTTTAACTATAATATTACATATTTTAGGTATCTCAACTTGAAGGTGTTCATTATGCTGCTTTCAATGTAAATAAAGAAAAAAGAGAAAGTTCACCTGAACTAGTCAATTTAATCGAAGATCAACAAGTAACTTGTTTAGATGCAGATAATCCAGATAATTGGGTTGTACGTGTTCATCCATTTTTACAAAACGTTAGTAGTTTCAGTAAACAAACTAAAAAGGATAATACACTTACTGATTCACAAACTATAGATGAAAATGATACTAATGATTTAGTTGAAGTTATTGTATCAAATTCACAAGAATCTCAAAGAACTTGTGAAGAAATTAAAAAGATTGGTCGTGCTAAAGCTGTTTGTTTAACACGAAATTTAAAAAGTGCACAACGTGGCAAAAGAAATCCAAGAGAATCTTTCAGAGAAGATGTTATTAGTTTCTCAAATAAACAACAAGAATCTCGAATGAAACTAAGGTAAAAAAAATTTTAAAATTTTATTTTTGTATTGATATAAACTGTTTATCATAACTTACATCAGAAATGTACAAAACATTATAGAAATTAACATAAGAATACATAGAGGTGTGTGTGAACGGTGCACGCGTGAACTCGAGGAAGCTCTAAGAAGCTCAGAAAGAGCCGAAGATATTCCATCCACTCATCTTTCGGAAGAATATACCAGTGTAGCTTTCATTTTGGAAAAATGCTAAGAACCCCTTGTATGCGGATTAAAGGACTATAATGATAAGTTTGTTTTTACTAAAAACTATAAATACGTGACATTTTTGTACCATAATTGACACTGTTTGGAATAGCATTCTTTTGACTTGTCTTCTGTCCTCGCATTTGGTGGGTTCTAGCGTTCGAGTCGCTCAAGTTATACGCGGTATACAAAATGGACATAACTATGATGTTACGTACCAGCTTTCACTGTATAAAATAGAATAATTGGGTGTAATAACGCTTCAACCAATTTCAAAGATCTTAACTAATCTAATAATGTCACAATGGAGCACTAATGCAAATTAAATATTTTAATATGTTTTACATTATCTCGCAGAGAATACGTAATATAACCGGCATATTTTATCAGTGTTTAAACTGTTAAAAGCAAGCTCCTACTTTGACTTTCTTGGCTACACATCCGTTTTTTCACGTTTGTGTTGATAGAAAAATTAGAACTGTAATGTTGAACTAGTGTACAATTTCACAGTAAATTTAATTTGCTCAACTAATTGAAAATGTAGATTTTAATAATGCAATTTTATTATTTCATCTATGAATTTTAATATGTGAATATCAATATTGGGATGTAGCAGGTACGGACGGCTGATGATGCGGATCAGCGGTCTACAGGTTAAGCGCTTGCGCGAGACCGTTAGGTTCTGAGTTGGAATCTCGAGAGCGAGATAGTGGATGCACACTGCTTAGGAGTTCCATAATAGGACGAAACGGCCGTCCAGTGCTTCCAGATTTTCCGTGGTAGTCTAGCTTCAATTGACTCATGAAATCAACTCGTGAAATACATTTTTGTCATGTCCCAAAAAAAGTAGAAAAATTATATTTTCGAGATTACTTTCTTCACAGTAAATAAAAAACCGAAATAAATGAACACAATTTCAACTGTATTTATCATTAGCTTTTTATTCAATGCACAAGTTTTTATAACTATCAAGTTCAACCTTGGCACAGATACCTTTATATATATATATATATATATATATATATATATATATATATATATATATATACTACCAGTGAAGTAACTACTTCTATGAATTCGGTATTCATCTTGTTGTGCTAATGAGGTGTGGCAAATTGGACCGATGCATATATATGCCTGGTTCTAACGTTGTAGCTGACTGACTAACTGACTGATTGATACCTATATCTTAATATATTTTTATATACTAATTCATTGTTTTTAGAAAATATGACTTATATGGAATATGATGAGCTGATTTTAGAAATTTCTTGATTTTTCATGTTATTTTGTTTCATTCGTTTATTTTAATGACATTTTATCTTGTAGATAGTGTCAATCAAATTTTACAGTAAAACTAAATTGTTTCCACTAATATTTGATTTAACGAATGTAAATCATCGTGTATAAACAATAGAAAGATTAGATGTACTGGTGTTGTTATTAATGATCAATTCTTAAAACCCATAAAAATTCATGTGAATTGACATTAACAGTCATATGGTGTTTAATAATCCTTTCTAGTAGAATGTTAGCTAATGAAGTATGGGTTAGTTCTCGCTAAAAAAAAAAGTAGCTTATAGAATTGATAGGATTTTTGTCCTGATATGAGGTTGATCAGGAGAACACTTTTTTATATAGGAAAAAGAGAATTCAACGTAGAAAATTTACTTTTCGACGAGATCATTTGCTTGAGCTGTGCATTCATATAGATTGTTATATGGAAAATATGTCTATAGGAGGGGGTTCGAATTAATATTTTATGCACTGCTGAGGCATTGGCAATCCATGAACTCAAGCCATCGTATTATCCACTTAGCTACTGAGTGCTGATAGCCATCTGCTTGTGCAGTGGGGTGAAGTTTAAATTCACTTGGTGTTGTTTACTTGTATCTTCCCTTTGTTATGTAGGACTGCAAATGAAAATCTTGTATAAGAGATTGTAAAAATGTCTTTTAAATTTTGTCCACTTTTGAGCTTGGATCCAGAAATAACTTTTCTAGGCATATTAGAGTTATTAATGTTTTGAGTGGATTATTTAACTGGTCTTTTCCTGGGTATATATCTATCGATGACATTTAATGATCGTAGCTGACACCTTAGGTTATAATGTTTTGAAGCGATAATATAATATTTGATTGAATACATTATAGAAATCACTGAATAAGCACTAGCCTCACTGTTTCTATGAACATTTTCTTGTCAAATTATAATAATGTCAGTGAATTTGTAGTTTACAATCATAATACTAAGAAGTTTTCATCGTCATTATTTGATGTAATTGAAGATTAAAATTAAAAAATACCCCATTATTGCATGTTGATAATGATTTATAAAACAATATCATTTGAAGTAAATAAGATACTGTCAATAGGACATACAATATCTCAGATTACTTCAACTAGTTAACATTGATTAGTTATTCATCTTTCATTCTAATTAAATATTGAAAACACATTAATGGTTGATTCGATAAGTAAATATGGTTGGAGCTCTATGCAGAGAACGAAACTGCATCAAAACCATCCACCTGAGCTACAAATCTTCTCCACCATCTCTATGCTTTCAATTAAGAAGATAAATGTTTATTGAAATTAAACTGAAAACAAATTTCATACCCACTTTGAATTACACTGATTAATAAATAAAATGTAAATATAATTCAACATTAAAATGACATTTATCTCGTTATGATGAAGTTAGATGAGAAATGTCAACTACATGTTTAAATAACATTCATGCTTATTTGTACAAAATCGATCCATGCATAAAATCGTAGTTCCGTTTGTAAAAGTGTTTACGGTTTAAATTTTACGATTGAGATTAGTTTTACTCTTATGATCTATCAAATTCCAAAACAAAATTATTCTTATTTAATATCAGTCTACGTATGTTATAGTTTACTTAAAAACACAGACTGGCCTTGTAACAGCCGTAATTCATGACAATGAAAGCATATCTGGAATGCCTTAAATAAAAGTTGTTTCCATATTGATGTATTAACACATGTTGATAATGACTATATACATCGAATCAGACTCGATATTCTAACCCATTCCAAGAAAAAATCAATCAATAACTTGCCCGAAACGTTAATGGAATAAAATAGACAACTTGATTACGAAATAGCTGAAGATAAAGAAACTTATAACGATAACCAAATAAAATCCAGATCATTAGGATGAATTGATTTAAGACTTGTGGAACAACTACGAATCTCACTTGTAAATGAAGTATGCATTGATGATATTGTTCAGAACGAAAATGAAAGCACAGAAATCTAAATCAGGAAACTCAACAACAACATATGGGTCATTAGGTTACATATAAATTGTACTTCTGAATTGGTACTATCGTGTTCACATTCATTCTTTAAGGTTTTTCATAATTTCTCAATTGAAATGAATTCATCAAAAATACATGAGATTCTCAATACGATATGGAACATTATTTAGGGATTATTTAGAAATATAATATAAATTCTATTTTCATACAAGAACTTAACAGTCACTTCATGCTACTGATGGAAACGAGATGAAATAGTCTAAAATAAGACTAATTGTTTAAAATGTCAAATTTAAAATTAGGTCAAAAATTATAGATCTGCCATATTGTATATACTTAAGATAATTTAACAGTAAATTGACTATAAACTAATCACTTGAAAAATTGATTGTACTAAAAATAAACGACATTTAAAACTAAAATGACTGACAAATTATCACTGGTCTAATATATTCACTTAAATGAAACGCATAAGATGTTCGCTTTTTTTCAATGTGTCGACCTATCTGATAATATGGAACTTAGAGGAAAAGGAAAATGGACTGCAACATAGTTTCTTTTCGACACAATTCAATCGATCTACAAATGTTAACGACTTTGTTTCATGAGGACTTGTATAGCTACATGGTAAATTATGTCACGGACTAAAGCCAACTGCAAAACCTATTGAGAGTGACAAATGATAGAATAGTTGTGACAGTATTATTTTAAAGCAATAGTCTTAATCGAGAATGAAGGTAGAATTTTGACGTTTACTAATCTCCATTCTATAACATTCATTAATTAGCAATATAAATGAAACAGCAGACTGTGTCACAGGAAGATTGCTTTCTAGTACAGAAATATTACACTTCACATATTACAAGTTGTGACTGAAACTTAGAGGAATTCATTGATTTTACGTGAATGAATGGACTGTGAAAACATATAGACGTTGCCGAAACAATATCAATTTTAAGGTAAAACTATCTGATATGTAATTCATTATTATTGATTAGAGATTGTTAAGAAAATTTAGCATTTCTTCCAAACTATTCGTTTCAAAATGAATATTTCATTTAATGGTTTGGTCAACACAGAATATGCTAAACTCACTGAAGTTAGATAAAGCATGGCAAATTAGTCTTAAATAACTATTTAAATTTGCCTACTCTGTGTATATTTATATTTGTTCAAATATGATCCACAGAAAACATCGAACATTGAACACACTGACACATGGAGACAATAAACCTACTAAGCCAAACATCTTAAAACAATGTCATTAAAATAGGACAATTTAATGACTGACGAATATTTTAAAAAAGACCTACTTATTCTTCAAATTAGACTCTGTAATACTTCGGATTTTCTGTAAATTGTTTTCCAAACATTTTAAATTTGATGGTTGAGAAAGCATATAATTTATGGGTTTATATAAACATTTGTTTAATGCTACAGTGCGTGTTACACCAACATTATTAAACCACACAAACGTACCTCTTCAGACAGTAACTGCTTCGTGAAAAATTTGCCATCACCCTACTTTCGTTATCTTGTTGATAAGCCAAATTTTATTAAGCATGGTATTTCAGTTTATCAAACTGTGCTAAGATTTAATAATCGATCCAAGTTATGGTACTTGTTTTTAGAAAATACTTTTATTCATAAAACTTAATGGACCCTTTTTGTTGGCATTAAGAATGGCATTTGTTGATTCTTTGTCTTGATATGTGTACCCATTTATAAACACCAACATTGTGGTACGGGTACATCTTTTTGACGAATCGCAATTAGTACAAAATGCATGTCCTGGATTTAGTTACCAGTCACCATCTGATTCTGTTCATGACAACCTACTCTTGTTAAGAAATGCCCCAAATAAAACAGTGTCTATCTACGTGCAAATATTTTACTTCCGACAGTCGTAAATAGAAAATGTATATTATTAATTTTGAAAGATGAAGAAAAACAGTTTTCATGTTGATTTCTAATGTCAGTTGCTATTTTAAGCCGACACAGCTTATTCTAGCTTTCGAACAGATCAGTTTAGTCATTATACTTGAATCACGTTTTGACCTTGTTGATTATTCATTTATCAACCTTGACTGTTTTTTTATATGAGCGTATATGTATGTACTTCTTTTGCTACTCATCACATGTCTGTAGCTTATTTTTATAGGGCTATAATAAATAAATAACGATTGACTAAAACGTGTTGACTTGCATGCCTTCTCCCACGCGCGTCATTTCGCTTCGCTCTATCTTCTCTGCTTCATTCGCTGAGATTCCCTGATTTTCTGTTCCGACCAATGAGTATACAAAATATGCGTATTCGAACATCCATTCTCGTACTGGACTTATTTAATTCCGTTATTTACCAACGCGAGTTATGTCGATAGTTTTTTACAAGGATTGACAATATGTATATTGTCAATAATAGTCTAGAAACTCCACAAGCCTCCAAAATGGTAATAATAATTATGATCTCACTAGTGACTGATTTCAAGCGGTAATCCTTAGAGTGGCACTTATAAGCCATGATAAGTAGAATCCAAAAATGTCAAAAGTAAAGTAACTAACAACCAATGACATCGAAAAGTGGTTGCTCAATGTAGCGAAAGGACTAAAATTAGCAATTCCAGTTACTGGATGATCGGTTAGTGGTCTAAGGATTCAGCGCAAGCTGTGAGATAGAATGTTCCCGGTTTCCTTCATTAATGGGTTTGTGAATGTTGGCGCTAAGACAAAGCAGCTATCCAGTACTTCTTGGATTTCATTAGTCATCTAAGTCCAGTGCATGACGTGAAGTATAAAACTCAACAATTTCCACAAACACTCTATGTGATAGTGATGTTAACGCCATAAATAAATCTTCTCTTTACGAACTGAATTGAAGATAACTCTTTTCTTTAAGTTTCCCTACAGAAAAGAAATTGTCATGTATATTCAACAACTTCATACATATAAGTCTTTTAAAATATAGGATCAGATAATCGTACATTCTAATCAAGTCAAATGGATGATTAGTTTAACAAATCCAACTCAGTTTCTTAAAATATGCTGTCATTTATCTTAGTCATACAATTATGTAATGTTTAGTAGTGAGGTAATGTAAATTATTCAATCTGTTATTGTTATTACTATAATAATCAATATTATACAATGTTTCAGTATGTATTGCCTTAGTGTAACATATCGTTTTTGTGAATTCAATATGACTTTTTATTTGCCTTATTTTAATTTTAAATTTTGTTAACTAACAAAATGTATAAATGAGTTCATAAATGTTGAAAGAAGTCTTTTTATACCAATAATGTTTGTCCTCTTTCTTGTGTCAAGCTATATTAAGTTTCAGTTACAGACATGACACAGTATTCTATCGTAAAGTTTCTACGGTATTTTCTAAAGAATAGTAATTTCAGTTATAATAATTAGTATTATAAAAATGTTCGAACTGTCTACATTATATTATGATAGTTTTTGTCAAGAATTGGTATTGCCTCAAGTATCATTAAAAAACTAGGAATGACTGATTTGCGGTTATTCAAGAGCTTACACTTAACACCTATCAGTGATCAAACACATGAAGTTTGTTATTTCAAGTGAGCATATTAGGCGGTTGAATTTGAACCCAATACTGTGGAACTAATATTCATTGTTTAAAGTAATGACTCGTTTGCCTCTGATATGATTGCTTTTATCCAAAATAATGTATTTCAATAAATAAAATTATTGACACATAGTACACCATTATATACATTCAATTATAAGTGTATTATTACGACTTATCAGATCACTGTCAAGTACCTACAATAAACAATCCCATTCAATCGTATGACTCATATTCACTATTCTTAGTGAAGATCAAACTCATCGAATCTTTTGATTCAAGTATACCGAACCAAATATTCTATATGAATTTGTATTCAAGTTTCTGATAGATAGTCCGTTTCTTCTATAAAATGATATAACTTAAAACCCATACATTACAGTTGATATCCAATTGTTACACTGTTATACGTTTCTTCTATATTAAGTTAATTTATTTGATTTTTGTTTTGTACTAGGTATACATTAACTGAGCTTTGTGATACTGAACTTGAATATTCCAGAGCACTGAGACAATTGTCTGATATATTAGATTCATTGAATGGCAAAATTATTTGAACTACTCAGATAATTCAGAGAAAATTCTCGATTATCCTAAACCAATTAGTGACAATATTAAAGGTCTTCAAGATACTCTGAAAAGAATTATTCAATTTTGTGGGTGAGTTCATCATATAATTCCTATAATAATAATAACAGTAATAATAAGATTAATTTATTTTAAATTTGTGATTCATTCATTCTTTTATAATAATAAATAATGGTTATTATCTGAGTAGTAACTAATGTCATGTTTGGTTGATCCTTTAGGCTGATCGCAACTTACTGATCAGATCCATAATGTTTAATAGCCATTACACCCAGAGTGAGCTAAGTTTAAATGTTAGTTGGTTAGAAGAAATTAACACCATTCCCTGGACTTAAGTTTCGTTCTGGTTAGTACTCATAGTAATAGATAAATTTAGTTAGGACCAGAATAGCTGATTGATAACTTCCTTGACAATCGCAGTAGATGACGTGGGTTCGAACAAATGGCGACTGTTTCACGGTTCTAGATCCACCTTACTGATTAGTGAAATCAATCATAAACGTAAGTCTACAGCAACCCATAAACAACTTTTATTCAACTTGCATCAGAAGACAGTTCACGTGACTATAAGCCACTTCGATTAATGACTACATTCCAACTCAGTTAATAGAACTTGATCAGTGCTAGGATCTAAACAAACATAGCATTGACCACTTAATGTATCTCGCTACTACAGGAGGTTATTTGCATCTCGAATAGATTGACAATAATGTCTTGTCCTCCGGAAGTTGTTGATTTGTGATACTCTGGAGCAATCAGATATAAACTAAATGAAATGTGATAGATACTGATAGACACACATTATGGATAGAAATTTGGCTTAACTTTCTGAAAAAACGGATATAAGCTATCGATAGATAATCTGGCTTAATTTTCTGAGGGAAACAGTTATATGTATATATAAATAATTTATGCATATATTTTCAAGTCAAGTCTTTTCAACTACATCTCAGCTTCCATACTCAATTACCTGATTGAACTCGCGTGATAGTGAGTTTGTATTACAGTTTCAAACTCGTACAAATACAGAGCGTAAAAAGTCGCACTTTGACTGTTTTAATGAACGTGACTTTCCTGTTGAATTAAAATATAAATTAATGCAGTTCATAAATACTTTAAGCAATGCTTCAAAGTTACTTCAAGTCGTAATGTTTGCCGGTTGAATATAGTTGTATACAATAATCTAATCATATTTTTATTTTCCATATAGTTTTTAATTGATGAGTGACAGTAATGTGAAGCTAATTTATTTTACTTCAGGGAATAGACATTTTCAATAATCATTTAAAAGTGTGAAACGTAAGAACATTTAAACTTATTGCTTTTTAGTATGATGTATATAAATTCACTTGATTATAGACATTTGTTACGTAACAAAGCAAAAATATTAGCCAATTCACAAAAATGCATCAAGGTTTATATGGTTTCTAGCCTCTTTTTATCATATTCCATTGTTATTTAAAAGTTTATGTTTATTTTTTCGTCATTTTATTTGATTCTAGTATGTTCTTGGAAAAATTGCCTTTATACTCATCTGATCCAGGAAAATCTGCTGAATGTTTTACAAAAACTGTGAGTTACTTTAAACACATAGTGTAAATAAACGTTAAGTTTGAACATGAATGGTTGCTAACAGTTGATGGATTACTGTACACTAGGAGGAAGAGGAAAACAATGTTTCTTTTTTCAAATTGGAAACCCTACACAGGAATTTAATAAATAACTTTCATTATCATTAGTTTACTATAAGATTTTATATGTTTTATATGTTTGATATAGTCAATTTTATGAATGAAGCTGAAATGAAATCTTCATGTTGAAGAGCTACTAGGAACACGGGGAGGCAATTTAAATATTTTTACAAATCCATAGGAGAACTAACTTGTTACAGTTGTTTAATGAAGCGGAGAGTAAATGCTGACTGGATGGATATTAAATAATAAGTCAGGATCTATAAAAGAAACAGTAGTGAAATATAATCTGAAGAGGAACCAATCGTAGTCAATAATGTGACTTTTAAGTTTTACTCTAAATTCAAATCACATATATTTCAAGCGATTCAAAACATAGAGGAAAAATAATTTTTACATCTTTAGAGTAAAAATGATAGTGTAGTGAACAAGAACACAAGTGGGGACAATTGAAAATTACAGAGCATCTCACTAAAATCTGCGAACCATATAGTAAATCGTTAATTTGCAAAATATCAATCTACCATACCAAACTTGACTGTTCCTATTGCAAACATCCATCCATTGTCCCAGATTTCATTGTTCATGCGTTTTCATACCGATTGCATTTCTTTCCCTTTTCTCATTGAACTTCTACTGAAATACATGCTATGTCTGACCACCGTTATATACTACTTGTGTGGATATAAGTAACCCACACAACAATAGTATTAATTGTATCAGATCCTAAATTGTGTACCTTTGGATTGTATATAACAGGTAAATCAACACGTTGCCTGGACTCTAATCCTAAACTCAGAACAAACCATAACCTGGTTCCACTAAATTTTATGAACAAACTAAACAGATAGCACCTATTGTATTTTTAAGTGTAATTTATTCGTTCATACAGCTATAAAGTCTTTTATACTGTGCCTAATACCAGTACCTTATTAGAACCCTAACCCTAGGAGCAATATAAGGACTCATAAGAATTTTTTCAGTTCTTTCAAGGGTTCGAGAATATGGCCAATCTACTTTCATTGGGATGAATGAATACTTAACCGTTTTTCCTATTTAAAGGCAGAGTAACCTTTAGAAAACTTTAATAAATTTAATAACAACGTAAAATTGGTTCATACTTTCTAATTGTATTGTTGTATTTTTCATATAGTAACCATTTGTCACAACTGATTGATCACTGCGTGATCAGTGTCATGTGTGTCAAGTCCTTCTTACCGCAGATCGAATGCTACCGACCAAGTTGCAATGTGGCCACTAGTCTGGGTGACTCGACATTGCGTGCACTATGTTGTGATTAGATCGTGATTGGAGGTAGTCAACAGGAAACCTTGGACCCGCGTTTCATGCTACTTGGCACTCGTCAGTAAGATGTACCTGTAATCTTGAGGGAACTGGGGCTCTCTGACCGATCTCAGTCCTACAGGAGGTCAGTCGCGGCCCGGATAGCTCAACGGTAACGTCTCTGACTGTGAAGCTGGGTGACACGGGATCGAATCCACCAGGGAGCACCAGTTCCCTCAAGATTACAGGCACATCTTACTGACGAGTGCCAAGTAGCACGAAACTCGGGTCCAGGATTTCCTGTCTACTACTTCTAACCACCATCTAAGTAACCATTTGTAAAAGCTGTTTTCTGATTGGCTAAAAACAATATAAGTACTAGGTAAGGAATTCGAATCAAAACAATTCATTTCAATCGCATCTTTTAGTTTCAAAAATATTAGGTACATTTTGAACATAATAAATTTATTATAATCTGACTTTTTATATGGCTAAAGATAAATTTAGACGTATTTAGAGTTATACAACATAGTTTACTTCTCCAGATAGTTCCTTATTATCATCTGTGAAAGACAGAACAACAGTCTTTATTCCACAGCTAACTATCATACATCTTTATTTACCATGATACGATTCAATGTCAAGTTTGACAAAACATCTGTAAATCTGAAGTTAATTTAAATATTTATTACTATGGTGTAATAAACATTGAAGGAAAACTAAACTAACTCAGGAAAATTCTGGAAAATGCTTCAAAAAAATTCTAAATCATCATTTAATGTAAATTTAATAATTTAATTCATGAGTTAATTTAAGTGAATTTCGACTTCACCCCATCGCACAAGCAGGTGGCTATCAGGAATCAATGACTAAGCGGATAACGCGATGGGGTTTGAAGTGAACGGTACTGGGTTTGGCTGCTACTGTGATCATCAACTCCGGGATGTACATCCAGCTGACGAGTCCCACATAAGACGAAACTTGCTTTTTCCTGGATTCCACTGCTAGCCACTATCCATCTTTGCTTGAAAAGCTTGTGACTTAAGGCTATATCGAGGCAATCCACACAGGATGCACATATGTCAACATGAGACTGATCAACCGCAGTCCTAAATAACAATGGGAAGATACAAGTAAAATAATATCAAGGGAATCTACCTTGATTAGATACATATAAATAACGATGATATATAATTCATTGCCATGGTACATATATTTGTGAATATACTGATTCAATAGAGTAAATAAATCTAAGTTTGAAGATAAATGTAAATTTTTAATATAAATCGTTTAGTTTAGATTAATGAATGGGATAGGATTTATAATATTTATTGTATAGACATAAATCTAATAATAGTAATATATAAAGTGTTTCATTTAACACTATAAACTGATAAACTGTCTCCTATTAAGACTAAACTTAAATATAAACTGTCAAGTATAATGTGAGAAAACAACCTGAACAATATGAATATAGCAATTTATGTAAAACATGAGTCCTTTAATAGGAAATGAATAAAAACTGGTAATATTTTATGAACTGTAAGGAATAAATTTCCCTGTTGTTAATATTTCAGATGTTATATCTTTTACGGTTACATCTATACACTAATTAACTGACTCGTATTTGGGACCAAAGACCGGAATCCTACGATCTGTAGTGAAAACACAGAAACTTGTGATATGGATTTATTTAATCCCAAACATAAATCAAAATAATGTATGAATATACTATATTTGTTATATGATTTATTTACAGTCAAACTTGGAGTCCGATTTGTAGTTTGAAATGATTTGTACTTAACACCAATCATTCGATAGCTTACTATTTGAACACATTTACAATGTCATACAAATCCCCATCTATAACTAACAAATATAACGGATTGACTAAGTCATATAATTACTACTTCTCAGTATGTGATTATATGTCATTGACCATTGGAAAAAATCCAGTTTTATGTCATTGGAATTCCAGTCAATGAAGTCATTTAATAATTGAGTTAATGAGTCAATTGAAGCTAGACCACCATAAAAACCTGGAAGAACTGAATGAAAGTTTCATTGTAGTATAGGACTCTTCATTAGTGCACATCCACGACCCCGCTCTGCAAGATTGGAACCCAAAACCTATCTGTCTCTCGTGTGAGCGCCTAAACTCCAGACCACTGAGCTGGTATCTAAGTGTTAAACTCTAACTTCAACCAATCCACGAAATTGAGCCACATGTCCACCATTGTCTTCAATGAGTTACTACCTCACAATAGACCCGGCTGAACTCCACTGATCACTATTTCTTAATAAAACTCCAGGAAATACCTCTTGAAGCCATTCTCTAGTAAGCAGATGATGATTATTATCAGAAGGAAGTTTTGTGGAAATTGTAGTCTAGTGCTTCCAGGATTTCCATGGTGGTATAGCTTTAATTAACTCATAAACTCAACTATTAAATTACTACGATCTCCACAAAAACTCCCTTTAGGTAATTAATTCATTGCTCAGATTATTACAAGACTAAAATGACTGGACTTCTCTTAACTTAAGATCATTTGGACATATCCCTCGATGTTGTATTCATATAATAAGCGATCGTATAATTTCGGAAAGCAACTAGCAGACTATCTGAAGATTTCTTTTTCATTCTTTTTGTCATTCAACATCTATACATTCTCGCTTCTAAGTATCTCAGGATTACGGATGAGAATTTTTAACAATTGCTGTTCAGGACGAAATCTTTGTCCCATTAACTCTCTATAGCAAAATAACACCATAAATGACTGAAATTTAAAATGCCACTGAAGGTGTAAAATTTTGACAAGTTTGAAATGTTTCATCTATTAAATCATTGATTGATATGAAAAGAAAAATATATCCAAATATTAGACCACCATTGAAAACCTAGAAGCACTGGACGGCCGTTTCGTCCTATTGTGAGTCCCAGAGTAGGACAAAACGACCGTCCAGTGATTCCAAGTTTTCAGTAGTAGTCTAACACCAATCGATTCATGATCTCAATCAAAAACGTAATAATCTCCAAAACCCTATACTGATATGTAAATATACTAAAACGCCAACAGTCTATTTTATAGGCATATTCTTCGAAACTGTTGATGAGAACTGCTTAAAAGTATTTCCCTACGTTTAGATTTCATCTACAATCTAAACAAAATCAAGCACGTTAAAAATAAACAGAGTACTTTAACTAAAAAAATATCAAATATTGAATCATTCACCTGTAAAACATTTCCTTAAAATTATCCTTTTTAACAACACTAACAATCTGAGTAATACTATACATCATACAAAATAAACTGAATCTACTCCTTTTCAGTGTAAACACTTGTTCACCTATACAAATTCAATTATCACTCTATTCGTAAGGTTATTTCTTTAATATAGAAAGGTGTGTTTATCACTTAATACATTGACATCTAACAGTCATTTCGTTAAAGTTCAAACTGAAAGTTACTCAATTAAGAATTGTGTATCTCATTTACGACCTGAATATTGAAAATCCAACTATTGATGAACATCAGCTCTTAGATGCAGGTACATCCAGCTGATAAGTTCCAAATAGAACGAATCGCACATCAAACT